ATGTTGACAGTCTGGCCCTCTATCGCAGAAGGATTCCCAACCGTACGTTAACGAGTTAAATTTATACAAATTAAATTTATACTAAAGGTCTCTGACGAGTCTCTTGGCCGAGACGAAACGCCGCGTCAGACTAGCCACGAACATTTCACAAGTGTTTGACAACTGTCCCACGCTCGTGTCATGTTGATTAATTCACCTTCACATTTCATATGTCTAGAAAACGTGGGAAATTACACCTTCGGTTTCCATGGTAAGCTGTGTTGCCTCGAAACAAACTCAAGCTTTGCTTTCCACAAAAATAAACTGCCCGCGGAAATGAACCATTCAACAACTTGTCAACGGTGCGTCTTAAAGTTGTCGCAGTTTGATTGATGAAGTTGAAACTAAAACCTTGACAAAATGTTCAGCGCTGAAAAATAGTAAGATAAAAGAATGTATATTGACAAATAAAGAAACAAATACACAGGTAAAGTTACACTTTAAGAAAACAAATTCTAAAAATAAAATATTTTCCCAGCACCGCTTGTCTCCCCAATTCCACGGCAAAAAATTACCCATAAAGTAAGGTTGGTACACACTACTAGAAGGCTTTTAACGTCAAACAAAGAAAAAATATCCTAAGAGATGCTATTCATGTCCTGAAAACGTAACTAAGGGCCTCTTCATATGAGCCCGATAACCGGGCCGCTACCGGGACGAATTTTGTGGTCTGTTCATATGGAAAATTTCAGCTCGGTCGACCGGGATGAAATTCAAGAAACACAACCAAAATGGTGAAACATAAACTTGTAACGTTCATGACTGTCGTAGCTTTGTGGACTCTTGTAACTTTACCAATAAACCCAATTCGCATACCGCTAAAGTGGAAATACATACAAGACAAAAATTATGCCATTTTGGTCGCTATGCTGCGAAAGCGGAGCTATTGTGTCTAAAAAGTTTCGCCCCGGTCACCCGGGCTGGAGAATTCATATGGGAAATTTTCATCCCGGGTTACCGAGATCTTGGTCTCAAAAACCGAGATCTCGGTTACCGGGCCAGCCCGGCTTCGCATATGTACATTGACTTCCTGAAGGCCTTTGATAGTTTGGAACGTAATTTTCTTCAAAGATGTTTAGAATCATTTAATTTTGGTCCAAATTTTATTCGTTGGGTAATGACTTTTTATAAAAATAAACAAAGCTGCGTTATTTACAATGGCATCACCTCTAATTACTTCACAATTGAACGAGGAGTTAGGCAAGGAGATCCACTTTCTCCATATCTCTTTGTGGTGGCCGTTGAAACCTTGGCTATTGTAATTAGACAAAATTCAACGATAAAAGGCATCACTAGTGGCAAGAAAGAAACAAAGTTACTCCAATACGCAGACGACACGACGGCAGTTCTCTCGGACATTAACTCAGCTCAAACTCTTTTTAGGCTGCTCGACGATTTTAAGAGTCACTGACTAGAAATATCGAGAATGGCTGACCAGGATAGAAAAATCGAAAATCCTGAAACTTTGCCCAAAGAACGCTTTTAGGGAGCTACGTTCGAAAATATTATTCCGATTTTCTTAGAATTTAAAGTCTTCCAGAAATTCGCAAAAAACGAAAATATAGCCTTTTGCCTCATTAAATATGCAAAAAATATCTGGAAAATTGACAGAGTTCTCGGTATTCGCATTGAAACAATTTACAAAGCTAGAACACTGGGTAAACTTAGCTCAAGAGCTTTACTTTTCTTCTATCTAACAATAGAAAGTTTTAAAGTTTTCGAGCATTTTGAAGGATTCCGTTGACCGTTGAAGAATTGCCTTTTCAAGCCCCTATGAAAACAGCAAAAATTGTGTAGTTTTACGGGTTTAAAACGCATCTTGGTATGTCCGATATGAAATTAAAATAGGTACTGTGCAAAAGAGTGTTGTTTCTACCATACTAATATGGCATAAAAATTCTAGGCAATCGAGGTTCACACAGGTAAAATGCAAAAGTTCGCGACAATCTCTTCTCAAATTTGCATAATGCGGTATGTTCAAAGAACTCTATTGTTGAGCACTCTAGTCTGTTTTTGTTCCATTTGTAGGCCATGCATTTTGGGAAATATACAAAAAGAGAGTCGATCCATGTCGTTATTACAACATTGTTTCATTATTCCACGTAAGATACAAAACAACTATGGAAAAAGCCCAAAATATAAGTTCAAAGTTACATAGATTAATCACGCTACATGTATCATTTGACTGGCGTCACGTAAGATATATTTTCAGTTAGCTCCAGTTGGAATTCCTCGATTGTTGAGGTTTAGACACTTGCTTATAATAGAAGCATAAAGGGGTTTGTCTGTCCCGTCTATACACACTCCATTAGTCTGCAAATATTCGAAAGGAGACTGGTCTTTTAAAGTATTTTTTAACCATTGGGTCTCGATTTTGATCTTGATGAAAACGGATTAATTAGATGCACTAAATGAAAAATAGAGTAAGACTGTCTGATGTCGATACCGCGATCTGACCTCGGTTGGAATTCGGCCTAGTCCAAACGTCGTGCTTCTGCCGTGCCGACCTCAAATA